ACTGTACACTCACCTTCGAGGATTCTCGCTCTTACCATGTGGGAGGCCAACGGGTCCGCAGGTGCAGCAGCGTACCACTTTGTTAGACCAAAATAGCATGGGAATGGGGCTCGAGGGTGAGTTATCTGACTGCCGTTGGGGAATCCCTATTCTCTCGTCCCGTTGCTCTCTATCCTTGCAGCGTGTTCGATGCGGGATTTTGGTATCGACACAAAAGGTTCACCTTGAGGAGTGGAGTGGCACCCGGTTCAGCTCCCAAGTGAGAAAGCGTCACTTCTGTAGAGCTACCAACCATTTTTTCCCATATGGCAAGGACGTGATTGTACAGTTTGTCCTTAAATTGAAATTATTTTTCAGTAAATAGGGCCCCACGTCGGACCACAGGTATATAGCATGAGGTGCAGCATACCTTCGCCTTCCGACTCGGGTACATTCTCAGAAACCCCGCCCACTTTTTTCATAGCAAATGATACTTTTCGATTTGTTCTCACCGAAGTACCGCCTCTGTCGCGCAGTCATTCTACGACTATCCTGCCCTCAACACCTCACTTTATCGGTCGTAACCTTTCTAACCCCTCCCTTACTTGATTGTAAACATCAGTCAAGGGGAACAAAACATCGTACCATACAGTAGGACATATAGGGATGGGTTTATGGACACTGATTATCATCGTATTAGCTGCTTCGTCATGCTTAGGTAGCGTTCAGACTTTGCAATAACGCGCGTCGGCACGCGATCAGTGCAGGATCGTTCCGCTGTTATAGATGGGAATGTAGTCATAGGCGGGTATCAGTGGGCCGGTTCGCTAGTGTTATGGGAGGATAGGCGAACAGGAAGGTACTAAACTGCATTTTAGCCCTCTCATTCTCCCATAACCCTCCTGTTCTCCCATACTCTCTCAAAGCAGTAACGACCGGCGCCGATTGTCCATTGTTGCGTTCCCGTCGATAGCAATGGCATCGCGTCGACGCGCGTTACAGTGCGTTACCAACGCGTCCTCACAAAGTCTGAACGCTGCCTTAGCGTTGTCGCGTCACGGAACTCTTCCGATTTCCATGCTGACCTATGACCCTTCTTCAATTCACCATTGTGCTAACGATAAGTTTTCGTCCCCATTGAAAGCAACAGATTCTAGAGAGCGGTCCACTCTTCCGCGTCCTGAAAAATAAGCGCGAACGAGGGGATCGATAAACCAATAACTACGGCGTAGGCGTATTCTTTAGCAAACTATGTTTTTTCTGGACGATCACCCACAGTATGAATGAGCCACCTATACAACCATTATGGAACCTTGACCGGACAATCGAAAATTCATGTGGCCACAAACACTCCAAGACTAGTACATACTCGATTGGATAAGTTTGTATCGATGAATTCACACTCCCTGATTGGGTAACAGGAACGATCTATCAGGGTCATGGTGTGCGTCGCCCTGCTATTCATCCCACAACCGCTCTGCGCACCACTGATTGCTATGTCCATTGCATCTGTGGCGCTTGGTGTACTTGGCATCATGCCATTTTTGGGTGTCAATCTTGACGCAACGTCGATGATTACGATAGCAATGAGTGTTGGATTCTCTGTTGGTGAGTGGTTTTTGACAGCTGTATCGGAGTTGTTTGTAGAGTAACTTGTCTTGAACTCAATGATAAACCGAAGACCAAACTTGCTCCAGCTAATATGAAAATCTCATTCCAATAAAAAGTGAAAAAACAGGTCGGAGATCCTGGCGCATCATTACTCAGGGCTATAAGCCATCGTTGCTGTGAACAGACATAGAGGGGCTCGCAACTTTTCGGCGGAGGGAGGGAGGGAGGGGGTCGTACTACGCCGTCTTGCTGAGGCAAAGGGGGCGCGGGTGTATGTGGCTTTTGGAGAGCGAATTTGCCTGCTTTGTTTTTGGCTTATCGCTGATTTTTCCTGCTTCATGTGGGTCTTAAAATACCCCCCCCCTCACAGAGAGCTCTTGTGGAGGAAAACTAAAAATGTGGAACTTTGTTAGATAGGTTGTTAGGGAAGGGGGGGGGGAAGGTCGTGCCGAGACCCTCTTTACAGGTGGGGGGGGGTTGTCGTACTGACACCATCCCTCGAGGGAGGGAGGCGTACTGACACCACCATTTCACACATCACGATGCTGTACCCTGGTTCTACTCAGTGGAGGCACTAAATAGTGTTCAGCGAAGCTTGTACAAACCCTGTACCTTATGAAGACGTGTAAAACTCTGTAACCTACACGGCTCACTTGTACATACCACTTCGCATTGTTACTATAAACTAGTAATAGAAATTACTGAGGGTGCGAATTGCCGCCCCTCCACTTTAGCTGGACAGCGCCAGAAAAAAAAATTTTTTTCCCCACGTCAAATTTGATTTTACATAAGAAGTTATCTTGATTTCCCACAAAATTCTGTGACAAAATGACTGATTCTGATTCTTTTGTCAGATTTCGCGGCTCACGTCTCATACGCATTCATGACGCAGAAAATCGCAGATGGTGACCCGGAGAAGTGAGTTGTAATAAATTTAGTTATTTAGTACTTCGCTTTCAAATATAAAAGCATATCACCGCCAGTATCTTTTTCCAAAAAAGGCGCGCAGTCGAAGTGAAGCGACCGGTTTTTTTCAGTGTCCCTTTGCAGCCACAAGCTGGTTAGCAACATATGCCTTCGAGCCATTTACCTCACAGCACTAGGTTTGCCTGAGAAATGCACTGATATGATTAAAGAATTCATTTTACAAGATGTTGTGTATGATAGATACACACCTAAACTCTTCAATATTCCAATAAGGAGCCAGTCGAACTCGTGGCGCATCCTCAAGGAATCGGTCCGCGCCGAAAGCTTGAATCCTCTAGTGAATTTTCCGGCGCTGTTTATCGACGGAGGGGCATTCTGCTTTTCATAGATTTGCCAACCCATCTAGGTACCCTTTTTTCGAGTTGACACGTTTTAGGATGGTGGCTAGACGATCTTGCTCCAGCTTCACAATGTGTTCACAAAGTATTTACCATAGGTGAGCATTTGTTAAACCGCAACCAGGCGAATTATAATACACAATAGCCCCCCCCCCCTCGTCGATAAACAGCCGCCGAATTTCCTTCCATGCATCAGCTACATATAGCTAGTAGGCTCATCATACTGGTTAAAATTTACAAAGGCAAAGACAGCGGTATTTTTTTCGTGCCGGTGAACCTCTTATCAATATACGCTGGCATTCACAAATCATAAAATGGATGAGTATTCGCTACCGATCCCTTTTTGGGTATGCGACATGCATCCCACTTCCATTAGGAATCATAGGGGCTTATCGAATGCGATGTTGCCTATACAATGACCTGCGGGGGCCAGCCCATGTATAAGTCAGCACTTTTACCTTCACAGATGTATCCCATCACCCGATGGTGGAGGGTAGAATTTACCACGTTGTAGGCTTTACATCCTATCGCTTGAAAGCTCTAATCGTCACGTCAATGAATCGATAATTGATTTCAGTGCACCATTCGCTCGTCTACGGGGAACGCTCGGTACTGTTGGTTGGCCAATAACCCAAGCGTCGATGTCAGTTCCTCCTTGGAATCTCATCACTTTCCTTCGTTGACAGTTATGTTGTACAGACGTGCTTCAAGACTGTTATACTAGTTATAACGTTTGGTGAGTTTATTGCGTAGAAGAAGTGCATTTTCTGTGACGTTCTTTCCACACAACTGGACCCACGAGGATCTAATTTAGAGTGCACGGCGCATCCCAAAACGAACTAGTCGACAGCGGACACTTTATAGCGCGTTTCCATTCATAAAGATCTAAATCTTCTGTTTCAGGGACAGTTCATGCTCTAGTGTTTCTTCCGTTAGTGCTGATGTATTCTCATAAAGCCTACTTTTGCTTGGCTGGTCCTCCGACGTCAACGGTCTTCGAACAAAATTCGTCCAGAAAAACATCTCCAAAGTGTGTGAATAGTTAAAAAACTTGTAAGCGATCTCAATGATCTGTAAATTTTATTGGACAGCATGAATATTTTCTCCTAGTCCTGCCGTGTCTCCTATTGTCAAGAATACCCTTTCCGCTCATCGGAGTCGCCTATTAGTGGGGGGGGGGCACTTGCTTTCCACACTTTGCTTTCCATCGATGAGTCGATCCATCCAGATAGCCTTTTCTTGAGCTGACATGTTTTACGATGGTGGCTAGACAGCTTGCTCCAGCTTCACAAGAGCCTTCACCAGACGGTGAGCACTGCGTACCCAGAAGTTAGTGAAGCTGCTGAAATTACAGAATGCCCCCCCGTCGCAAAAAACTGCCATGACACCGTCGAAAACGCTCCAAGCAGATTGATACCGTTTTCTTGCCAGCTGATTTTGAACACGATGAGTAATACTGGTAAAAAAGCTGGGGGCAACAGATGCGCGGACGAGACACCATAAAAAGAATGAAAGAAAAGAAAGAAGAATTAAATGGCAGACAACAACGCCGATAATCCCATCCGATTTCATGAAAAAAAAAACTGGCCGCTTTAGCGCGGCGAGAGGGAAGCAAAGCCCAGTGAAAACGAACTCACTGGCACCTTGTCGAAGATAAGCGAACATCACAAAGAGGTCGAGGGAAGGCGAGAAGCATGGTGCTGACTGAGTAGCAGGAAGGAGTAACAGAAGAAAGCTGAGAAGCGTTTTTTGAGGATAGGGATTATGTTTCCTAGGTGGACGACCATCGAGGTGACTGCATGGTGCTGATTCTACCAATACTGTAAGCTACAGTCCTCATCATTACGCGACTGTCGCAGCGGCACAGCGCGCTGAACCCACTTGTGACCGACAGCTGGCTGCGGCCATCGATGACGGCGGAATTCAGTGATTTGTGATGGAATTTCCGGCTGTAATTCCACTTTTTCAGCTCTTCAAGCTTCTAAAGTGGAAGGTGAGTTATTCTGAACAATTTTGAATTGTACTGGCTCTGATTTCCTTTATTTTTATGTCGATTATATGCTCTTTTCCTTGTATTTTGCCTTATTTCAGGCATTTATTCAAATTTGCATTCTTTCAGATTCATTCAGAGTCAGTACAATTCAAAATTGCTCAAATAACTCACCTTCCACTTTCGAAGCTCGAAGAGTTGAAAAAGTGGAATTTGCAGCCGAATTCCATGGAAATCAGCTGATTCGCCGTCACCGAGCCGCAGCCGCTGTCGCGTCACAGTGCAGCGCGGCTGTGCCGCCCCGACAGTCCGTAATGATGAGGACTGTAGCTGTTTTGCGGGAGCTCTCATAGTCAGAGTAGCGCGGTACGAAGGGCAAGAGTTCAAACTTCCAGGAGTCATAATTGGCCAAAACGAAATTGCTTTCCGATTGATGTTTCTAGTTCGAGGGACGCAATTCTTCTTCAATCGGCAATCGTGCGTGGCCTCCATCAAAACGATGTGGCGGAATGCACTTGCCCGGGGGGCTAACAATGTAGCAGTCAGTGCTGCTTATCCTCCCACACAAATCTGGCTACCAATTTACCGTCCTGGAGAACAGGAACGTTAGCAAGCTGTCGGTTGGCCTGGGCGTTAGTCGACCACGGATTCGAACCCAGGACCGCGCAGGTGGTATGCACGCCACTTGTCACTACAGCACCTCCGCCCCCCCGGCGCGCTATGTACGTTCCCTTATCGGTGACAGGGCAGTTTTACTATCGTTGACATCATCTCAATCAGTCAGGGGCGGTTTTAGAAGGGGTGAGATGAACGCACCTGTCTACCATTAATATTCGGTTCATGGTCGAACTAGGAAGACGCAGTGGCTGAAACATTCTCGAGGTGCAGCTCATTTCACTCCTTCCCAACACCGCCCCGACTGATTCCGGCGATATCGACTGCTACAGGGGGGCGGGGTGGGGGCCAAAAAAAAAAGTCAACTTTGTTCATTTGACTTTCAGGGCCGCCTATAAGTTACACTTTATTGAAATCTGATCGGACATTTTTACCACCATATTAAGAGCATATTCAAATACTATCATGACACTCCGCCACAGCCTTCTGGACGAGCGCCATCGAGAGATTCTGGCACGCGACCGTGATGTGGTGCCTGAGATCAGCGAGATAGTCGATTTCTCCGCCACCGTAGACCACCCTATTGAACTCCGCCCGAACCGGGTAATTGAGGGGATTCAGGTCAGGTGACCTACTTGGATATTCCATCTTCTTTAGGTACTCAGCCCCCTTCCATTCCAAGTAGGCGAGAGTTTCTCCAACGCCCTTCGATTTCATGTGGTGGCACCCAATGCTGTAGCAGTACAAAGTTTCCAAGAAGGTACGGGCGACCACATGTGAGGAGGATATTCTTCACGAGTTGCCCAATGTAACCGCCAGCGCTCACCTTCAGTCCGGGGTCCACGAAGAAAATATTGGTCTTTCCATTCCAGGTACGTCCGGTCCATACCATTCAACATGCCCCGCCTTGGCGACTGCGGTGAAGATGAGACTGCCGGTGAGATGATGTCCTAGACCGTAGGCGGACGTTGTCGGAGCTGCTCGATGTTGGAGGTCATCCAGATCGAGAGTACTGGTCTCCAGGTAGCTATCCATGGGTGACTCCATACTAGAAGTTTCGCAGCTGTTTGGAGGTGACATGAATTCCAAAGGTCTTCTCCAGTCAGGCTGCGACTGGAGATGACTTCATATTTTGGTGTACATGAAGGTGATGGGCGAGAGCCAGCTCCTGCTTAAGGAGGAACACCTCTTGGGTACCTTCCGCCCTGCGCCTGGTACTCGTATCCACGTCCTCTGTCTGGGCAGCAAAAAACTTTCGCTGGTATGTGACTGGTCGGAAGTGACTTTTTTTGCCCCCCCCCCCCTGTATATATGTAGTGAACGAATATTCCCGCCCTTTGAACTGACGGGGTTTCTGAACTGTTCGTGGGTGGTGGGGTTGTGTGGAAGACGATATTATGGGGGGTAGGGGGCGAACATCTCGATGATGTGCCTTGTGGATTCTATTACTTCACCTCCACAGAAGATATAGTGAAATACCGTTCCCACATCACGGTCTGTACTGCTGACATATTGAAGTGGTACTGAAATGAAAAAGCGGAATTCCCAGACTTTCCGAAAAAAGACGATGACGCATGAATTGCTATGGGAAAGTGAAGGAATGCGTAAAACAGGGTAGATTCCGCGAATTCCTTTTACAATGTGCCGTCATGGGCATGAGTTTTAGGAGATCAGCAGCCGTAAACTGAGTCACATGGACAGTGGACGGAAATGATGCCTTAGATGCCAATAGACCGGTACCTCTCCTGGGCTGTTTCACAGATTGGTTCCGATAAACTCTTATGGGCTGACACATAGGATTGGCCTTCAACATAAAAGGCATGTTGGAGAAATTGCTGAAATAGTTTCATCTAAAGGGAATTGATTGTATGAAAACGAA